TGAGGTGCTGACTTCAATACTTCGTTCTCGAAGTGTTCCATGAATATATTTCCAATAATCGGGGAAATGGGAGAACCCGTTGCCGCTCCCGATTTCTGCTCATAGTACTCTCCTTCGAACTGAAAGTATGTAGAAGTCAAGCAATGCTCAATCAGGAGAAGGAATTGGGAAGAGATGTTTTGGGATTTCTTGATGATTTCCAAGGTTTCTGGGATTGGAACGTTAGTGAAGAGTGGTTCTACATCAAAACTCACTACGATATCATCTGGAGAAGTCCGGAGATTTCTCAGTTTGTTGACGAAATCCAGTGAGTTCTGAATGTATGAACCATTCAGGCCAGTCAACTTTTGGAGTGGTTTCGTGAGAAACTTGGCCAGCTGGTAAGTTGGCNTTTCGTGAGAAACATGGCCAGCTGGTAAGTTGGCGCTCCAATGTTACTGACAATGGGACGGAGAGTAACAGACTCTTTATGGATTTTGGGGAGTCCATAGAGTCTAGGAGGAAAGGATTCTTTAGGGATGAGTAATTTCGTCAGGTCAGCCGAGAAACCAGCCTTCTTCAGCAGATCAGCAGTTTTTCGCTCAATTGTACGAGTAGGGCCCTTCCTAAGTTTAACGTAAGTTCTGGAGTCACCCAACATCGTACTGAGCTTACCGGAGTAGTCGTCTTTATCCATAACCACCGTGACATTGCCTTTGTTAGACTACGCAGTGCGGGGCATTCCTCCCTTCGTGATATTGTCACCAGGGGGAGTGGCCTTGTGGAGGATGTTAGACAACTGCCTCCGGATCTCATTGCTGGTCTCCTAGGGAAGATGGTAAATCGTTGTCTCGGTACGACTGATGATTCCCTCGGTGGGGATCTTTTTAGGGGCACCAGCGAAGTTGTGTCCTTTCGCCAACACAGACACTTGTGCTTCACTGAGTTCAAATTTACTCAGATTCTTCACAGTGTGAGTGAGGGTTGGACTTTCTCCTGGGAGATCAGTTTCTTGAACTTACCCTTCTGACTCTCAGTTCTCATCTCAGCTGTTCGGACTGCTTGTTCGTGTGTAACACGATCGAGAGTCTCCCACAGCTGAGACTCCAACGTCTGAGCCAGAAGAAGGTGGAGATCGAGAAGCTGTCTGGAGAGATGGGCCAGGTTCTTCTTAGCCGCTGTTATTCTCTCCTTGACCAATCTCAACGTAGCTTGGCGGAGGATGGCATTTGCCTGCTTCGATGGGACAGGATTCCTCAGACGGAGGAATTTCGGTACCATTTGATGGTCACAGCACCTTTTTAAAAAAGTTAGGGAGCACAGTTGGACGTGCAAGGACTTCCTAAGTTTGGTGCATAAATTCACCGACCCAAGAATAACCTCTCCGGAGGCGTTTAATCTTAGTTTTAAGGCTTTCGCGGCCACGATTAATGACATCTTTAGCTTCCGGATGGATGCCGCGTTTGGATTCAGCGTTGCGCCGACGTTTCGCAAATATTGCAGTCTGCATCTTCAGGGCTATGAGCTCCGATTCTGAGATCCGATGTCTTGGGGTAGTCCTTATATGCCTTCCCTTGTAGTGGTGGGGAAAGGGGAAGGGGGCGGGGCAGCCAATCATATGTTTTTAATTGATCAGCTGGTGTCTTTAGAGCCTCTCTGCGTTCATTGATAGGCCAAAACTTCTGACGTACAGCACGTAAGAGCTGTTCTGGAGGGCAGTGACGTAGACGCTTATGTTCCTATTTCATAATGAGACTGGTGACGTGTCTCGCCAGGAGCACGAGTGGATGTTTGTCTTCAACGCTGAGGTCAGCATATTGGAGACGTCCTCCAACTCAGATCAATTCGTCCTCATCCAGAAATGGGTTTAATAAGGAGAAAGGGCTTTTTGTGGGCAACTCACGCCTTTCCTTCAAACGATGAAGCTCATGAGAGAACGCTTTGAGTTGTACCCACTTGATAATTGTTGTTTCTGCCTTTTTCATCTGATAAACCTCCACAGGGCCCTATTTTTTTCCACTTGTGAAGAAAAGTTTGAACCACTAACACTCAAATATGACTGCACATTTTTTAGTACGAGGGACCCGGGATGAAAAATTTGAGTCTTTTTGGGGTCTGTAAGACTCGCGTCTGCGTCTATGAGAGAGTATGGCTCAGCGCCAGTAGCCATACTTTTGAGAGACTCTGCGTGGGAGACGCAGCAAGACTGCTACCGAGCGTCTCTCGGCGAGAGGCTCCGCGTCTCTTACGCATCTCAATAATTAATTAATCACTAATTCCTTCAGTTTCATTATTGGAAAATAATTGAAAATATTAATGTAGTTAATTCACAAATTGCACAATTATAAAACAAAAAAAAAAGAAATCGGTTCAGCGGTTCTCCAGATGTTCCCTCCCGGTCGATCCGCCGTGTTCCCTTTCGGTCACCCATCCTTTTACTAACCCAACTCGCTACTGC